CAAAAACTATGAGAAAGTGATAATCCTCTCTCCTCACTGGTAGTATTAGCTTTATCCTAAGCAGCCTCCAGGCCCCTCCACTCTGTAACACTCTAAAATGCAAATCCCCTGCCTAAAATGCCTTAATAACACCTTATTAAGTCTATTATTAGCACAAATTCCAGTCTATACTTCCAAACTCACCCTGGACATATGCAGCTACTGTGCTAGGTTGCCTATACCTTGTATTTTATTGCAATACACTCCTCTGCCTGACACAGTTGCTCAACTTGGCAATCCAGACATCAGTTAAAATTCAGTTCAAGTGTCTTTGACAGCTTCTTCTCATGTGAGAAACTGTGTTGTTCACTCCCTCCTTATGCCACTGCTGACTATACTATCTATGATTATTTACTCACATGCCTTCTTTTCCTTCAAAACTGCCATCCACATTGTATTCTCATGTACAACACCTATAAATAGACACTACCCAATAAATGCTTAGGAGTGAAGAATGCGTGTTCCTTTATAATTATTTAGTGGATTTAGAACACAAAAGATTGTCATGCATTTAGTGAATAGACACGCTCTGATTATCTATTATGTTTAGAACATTGTATGAATAGAAAGGTGATACAAGGACAAAATTGATCGTAATGGTTTCCTATACAGGTTTGTGTCCAGCAAGAACACAGAAAATAAACATTACTTAATATCATGAACAAATGCATGCAAAGCCAGTAGAATTCTTCAGTATCAAATACTAATGTGGAACTTAGTCCACTCATGTAGAATAATTTCTGGACATGAGTTTGAGTCTGAGTTTTATTGAAAATAAAAACAGGCTTCCAAATCTGAGGTGTAGCACAAGCAAAATTATAGAAGAAAGAGTCATTCTTTGCAAAAAGCATTGTAAAACTTAAAAACAAAAGGAAAAGATTTTTTGGTGGAAATATGAAGTGACAGTGGTAAGACAGGGAAGTGGTATGCTGGAGGGCTTTAAGGGAATAGCAAAGAAACACAGATTTGATGTGATGGGCAAAAGGAGCCTCTCTGAGTTCTAGTGTAGAGCAGGTTTAGGAAAATATCACTGTTTGCTTATGATAAATCTTCTAAGTTTATGTGTTTCTAAAAGAGTAAAGTAGTTAAAATATAAACCAAATAATTATAGCTAGGCAACTTGTAACAGGAGTTAGTTTCCAATCTAAACCATTTAAATGCTAAAATTGACCAACGATAAAAAGTAAAGTCTGTATTAGCTCCCAGTGCCCTCAATTTTCTTATTAATGCTATGTCATTAAACATAATTTATAGATATGTCTATGTCTAAACCAACATAGAAATCTAATATTAGTTGCTAGAAAAGCATGGCAATGTTCAAATTATATTATTCAGCTGAAATTGCTACAGACATATAAGAAGATCAGTCTTCTTTTCTGCCTCAAAAACGTATGTAGTTAATTGTGATATGTCTAAATCTACACAGGGATATGGAAGAGATAGAATGAGAAATAAAAGATAAAATTAAAAACCTCCGTGTTATAAAGCCAAAGTTATGTATAATGGTGCATTTTCCCACACTTCTATACTACCCATGAGGTATTTACATTTTTTCTATGACACTGAAAAGAAATCCTACAAATAGGTAGCATTACAAAGTGGTATTTCTCTTTGGAATTAATGTTTTCTTCATCTCTAAAAAGGTCAAAGGTCACCTCCCTTTGACAAAATGACTGAGATCAGCAGCTGGGGCACTTGAGGTTCCTAGGACACTTCACTTTTACCAACTGAATGATTTCCTATTCACTAAGCTCTTAATCTACTCTTTATCTCTTCAGTGGCTTGTGATTGTCACAAATTGTTAATAATATTCCATTTAATTTCCAAGGATTTCCTCGCCATATGTCTCTTTTAGAAGGATCATACAGAATTAGTCCTCCTTCCGACAGGTTACAAAGTAGCAATCTGGCTTGGATCACAGTCACTACTGAAATACAACAAAGAATTAAGGGAATAATTTATCAAAATTACTAAAATTGGGAAAGATTCACCTCAGCTTTCTGAAAATTATTGGAAAAAGAATATTCTGGCCTGATTTATCTAAATGACCTCACATTTTCACCTTACCTGGTAATATATACAAAATTTCAGTCTAGTGTCAGAGAGCTCTATTTTTGCATCCTAAAGACATTGATCTTTCTTAATTGACTTGTGAAAACAGCCTCCATCCTGACAGCTTCACACTATGGCATTTTATAATTCAGTTGTCCAAATAAGCTGTTCCCTCCTATATTAACCACTACACTTAGAAAAGCATAAAGGCTATGTATTAAACATTCCATATTTCATTGATAATATTTCTCTATTTTATCTCACTTTAGAGTTCTTTGTTGCTTTTCAGTTGAACTAATTCAGACTAGGGAAAAAAATTTAAAGTATTGTTGAAGATGCAAGCAGTTTCCTATAGAAGATAGCTGCTTTCCTAGGGAATGATTCATTTAGAACAGTGGCAGCTTCCAGACTTCACACATTACTTCCCCAAATTTGCTGAATTTAGCATTAGCCAGCTTGATACTAAAACACTCAGAACTCAAAGACATGTGGGTGAACTCAAGACATCTTCTTCTCTAGTCTTATTCTAAAAGCTCCCAGAGCTACTTTTGATTTATTTGTTGTATTTCTACGTGTAAATACATACGGGTGGCATTTATAAAAATCAGGTCGAGATTTGCCAGTTTGGGAGCCATTCAAGTTTCTTTGTGATTATGGTTTGAATGGTGTAGGTATTAAATTCTGGATTATAATTCTGTTTCTTCCTATTTTAATACTATTAACTGCTAACAAGAATTAAACATCCATGATACATAAGAGTATATGAGCATATCACATAATCAAGAATGCATCCTTCAGCTAGATGCACTTACTGTTCCTTTGTTTCCAGGATCATTTGTTTATAAGAAAGATCTTGCCAGTTCACAACTCTGTCCTGAAAGCATTTGATTACCAAATGTTTGTAACTATACATTAAAATGCATTTTAAAATAACGATGGCAGTAAGCCAAAGCTCCGGAATTATATCATGGCATCTTTAAAACCCTGACATGTTACATAGATCTAGGTGCCTGTGACTACTGCCAAGAACAGAGGGCATCTGTGCTAAGGAGTGTCCTCCTTGACCACATGGCCTGCCATTTTATCTGATAGGATGCCATCTGTTCATCCTGCTGCCATTCTCTAGGGTAACTGGGTTAAAACTACAGGATATTAAAATTAGTCACACTGCCTACTGTATTTTTTAATTGACAGATTATTCATATCAGTGAATTTTTCTCACATGCTATTTGTTCCATAAAATGGTGAAATATAAAGGTGTTTATGATTAAAAGAGTACATGTTATAATGAGAACATTTATAATTTTTCAGGTTAAAAACACTGACTCTGGAGTCAGGTTGCCATGGTTAGAATTGCAGCTCCACCTCTTACCAGCTCTGTGAATCTAGGCAAGTTTCCTTACTGTATATAATTGCCCTCATCTGTAAAATGATGATAAAAGTTCTATCTACCTCACTGGGTTGTTAGAAAGGTTCAGTAAAAAATCAAATATATTTATTGATATAAGATAAACCCTCAATACGTATGAGTGTTACTATAAAGAATCATCTTGGTTTAATATGAATCTTAAATTAGTATGAAACAACTTTTGAAAACTGAACATTAATGCCATTTAAGATGAGATGTGCTATACAGAGAAAAGTTACAATATGAATCCAATTTCTCAAATGTGTTTCATATGATTTTAAAGATATCCCATATCCATATTTTAAGAATCATCCATTTTTATGCCTTTTCATCCGTGTATTATGCAGTGTTTTATTATTGTAAGTCATTTTCTGAAATCCTGTGAACCAAAGTGTCATTGACAAGAACACACAAAACATTGCCACAGCCACACGGAAAGCAAACAGAACTTCCATTTCATGACTTGTTTAAAGGCATAATTTCTCTTTAAAATGTTGAAAAGTCTTTCTGTAGGGAGCAAAGCAACAATCCACAGCCAGTACACTGCTTTCATTGTTCTGTTTAGGGACTCTAGAGGCATTTTTGTCTTTCATTTTTATGCATACAATAAATACAGGTTATAATTAATACAAAAAGGTAGATTTAGAAAGAAAAGAAAGTAAAATAAAAGTTAATATACAGGCTCTGGAAGTAGGCACATAAACTCATTTGCTTGATGATGGTACATTTGACTGGGACCTTTGTAAACTTCAGTTGGCTGAACTCTTTCTGGTCCCACCCACTGCCTAAGAACAGCAGGTGCCTTATTCAGCAAAATAGGGGCCTGATTGGCCAGAGGCACTCCATTTATTCACTGTACTATTTATGTTTCCTATGTAGTAATTTCCCTCCTGGGTATGCTGTTTTTCAGTATTATAAAGTAAACTAATAAAAGGGAACTATAATAATTTTTAAAAATGTAGGTAAAGCATAATAATAAGCAAAAGTATTATTCTAAAATCAAAGTCTTCATATATGCAACTTGGAAACACTTGAATTAACAATGTATTGTCTTCAAACACAAATTCAATGAGATGTCAATATTATGGGAAACATATACCACACTATCTTTTTAAGCTCCTGATACACAGGTTAGCAATCAGACCCTACACATCTTTACCAAAGAAGGCACTTGTTGTATTCGAGTTAGATTCAAAGAGTCTTCCAAGGTAGAAGAGAGTTTGCATTGATTATAATAAAAAAGTGGATTTGTTTTAAATATATTAAACTGGCATAAGATTGTTTTTTATAATTACTAATTGTTTTCAGTTGATCCAAATTCAGTATTTGATCTTATATCTTTTGGAGATATAAATACATAACTTATGTACCAAAAAGAATACTCAAATAAATTTTACTACTCAAACTTCATATAACTCATGACATATAGCACATTAATATTCAAAATGTCATAATAAAAAATCAGAATATAGTGGCTTTAAAAAAAAAAGATGTGACTTACCTCTTCCCACTGATGTATGTATCTAATTAACCTTGAAAGTCGCAATAAGCGCAAGAGACTGAGAATTTTTGTAAACCTCACAATGCGCAGTGCCCTGGCTGTCTTGTAAACTTCTGAATCCATCCCTTTTTCTACAATAAGGAAGATATAATCCACTGGGATTGATGAGATGAAGTCAACCACAAACCAGCTTTTTAAATAATTCATCTTGATCACTTTAGGGTCCAGGATGATTTCAGAACTGTCTTCATTGACAGTCCCAGTCCTAAAATTCATGATCAAGTCCAACAGGAAAATGGTATCTGATGCCACATTGAAAATAATCCATGGTGTTGTTGTTTGCTCTGTAAAGAATGTGATTCCAACTGGTATGATGACCAGATTTCCAACCATCATGATAAGCATTATTAAATCCCAATAAAACCTACAACAAATAAAAAAAATCAGATTTTCAGATGTAGAAAATAACCAGCTCATTCTCTTCCTACCATAAAATATTACTGATTTACAGTTAAATATACAAGCCAGAGAACAAAGAAATTATTTTTAAACATTATAATTGAATCAATGGCTACACATTAAATTTTAAGTGAAACTAATGTTTGTCTAAACTGAGGCATTATAATTATAGAATTATTAAATTATTAATGTATAGTAAATTATACTAATAGAATTCAAAAATACCCATAACCCCTATTTATCTAGTAAAGAGGCAAAAGAGAAATTCTCATATTGTTAATGCAAAATATAGAGGGAAACAAGATAAAATGTAAGATTAAAAGATTTTACCTTTTTAAAAAATGGCCTTCGGGAAGAAATTTTAGAGATGTTCGGGAATGTGTTGTATGTCAAATTTACAATCGTAGTTTAGAATAAACAGTAATAAGTAGAATGCTCTAAAAATTTTGCTCTACTAGTTCATCTCTGCCATGTTCCTAACATAGCTTATAGTTTTGCAGTACTCCCAAATATTTATATTTTATTCTTCTTCTGTTTGAAATAAGAGAATTAATTGTGGTCTAATGCAGAAAAGAAATTAACAGACTATACTTCAGATTTGAAATTAGAATCTATCTAAAATCTGAACTTTTATCACTTGTTCCTTGGGGTACCTTAAATACATTTTGCTATTTTTCAAAATAATTTATTTCTTTAAAGTTTTTAATTTTACTTTGAATATGCCTATGATTCCTAACTACATTTTGGAACAGTCATATCAACTTACATTAAAATTGGGAAAAAATCATAATTATATAGCTTATATTAATCAAAAATAATTATAATGTTATTTTCATAAAGGTTCTCTCAAAATCTTTGACATTGCAGTTAACCAACCAAGTAATAACTATTTATAATTATTACAATGAATATGTTCTTATAAAAAGGAAAAAAACAATCAACTAACAAATGTTTAATCATGAAATAATTTCTAGAAACATGATTTGCTTTATCCTAGAAATAAGTATTATCTTCTGAAATTTTTTTGCTGTGTAAAGAATGTAAACTTCTATGATATAAATGTCTATTAACCAAGAATTAATTATTTGTTTTATATTATTTACCCTACTTAGACTGAGTTACATCCTGGTAAGTTATACATTTCCATAAGCCTTTTGAAGTTACTATTATCCTTAATTATGACTGATCCTGGGATAAAAATAATAGTATAAGAAAGAACTGTAATCGGCACTTTCTCCCATGTCTCTGATCCCAGGATTTTGCAAAGGTTTGTTATTTTCAAGATTTCACCACTACTCCTGTCAAAATTTACCTGTACATTTATGAGCAAGTTTAAGATACTCATGTAAATTGTACATCATGCTTCATGCACTAGAAATTTAAAAATGTAAATGAAATATTTTTTTCTTCTCTCAATGGAAATGCAAACTGTGGCATTAATACACTAAGGTCAGAAAAGAGATGTAGAGGTGAGGCAATATTGCAATAGCTGCTTTGCAAAGATATGACATCATTGAGCTCGAAAATGAAATTATGTGTACCCTGAGGATTTTTCACTTCTAGATGCTCTTATCCATTTCTTCTATGAGTTTCTCTCTCTGCTGTCCCCTTGATGGCTGCTTTTTACCCCTGGGTATCACACAGTCCTTTCATCTTCTATTCTACACATGCTCCTTAGAAAATATTATATATTTATCCATGTCTTTAATGATTGATTTGTAACTGATGGCTCTAAAAGCTTTATCTCTGGTTCTTTCCTGTCTTCTAGGACACCAGATTCTCATAACCAACAGCCTATTAAATCTATCCCCTGGCATGTCTCACATTCATCTCAAACAGTATAACTAAGTCAAACTCATACTCTTCCCTTCCCCTTGCATTACTCATGGAATGGAGCAACTTTCTATGTGCTTTGCAAGCCAGAAATTTTGGAGCCATCCTAAGTAAGTTCTGGTCATGAATCTACCCAATCCCATATCCAATCAAACACCAACACTCTTTTTATCTCACGCCTAAAAATATGTTACAGTATTGCATGATACTCCATTAATATGTACAACTTTTATGCTTTTGTATCAAGTAAAAATAATAATAAAATAAAAATTATAACCACATCACAATATTCACATGTAATAAAAAATTTCTTTCAACATTTAAATTTAAAATAAAATGTGTTGTATTTATTCATTTGCCTCTCACAACTCCCAATGTGGCTGTCCTCATTCAGAAAGTCTTACGAGATGTTCAAAGTTGGAGGTAAGTTATATAAATTCTCTATCCTAAATATTCTCATCTGCAAAATTAAGATTATTAGGGAACCAAATGCTTAGCTTTTACGGATTAAAAAGATTAAATAAAATGATATATGCAATTCAAGGACCTGACCCATATAAACTGGCATGCGATGTTGCTGGTATAGTCACTACCCTTTAATCCTTCCTTCGTAATCAAAAGAAATACAATTTTACAGGAGTAGACATTGAAAAACAGACATTCTTGTATTTCTGCCATTGAGGTGGAAACTTTTTTTGAAAGAAAACTAATATGCCATTCTTCTTGGTCAATAGAGATGAAAAGAATAAAGTGTCATCGAGTCTACGTTATTGCAATAATGTTCACCATACCATAGCTTTTTATTAGCAGTACTGAAGCCATTAGATATTCAGTATCAATATGAAGCTCCATTAATTCTTATAATATCTTTAGAGTATCATTTACTCTATTTCATAAGCATAAACACAAATTTAGTTATAGTCTTTGTATAATATTGCATTTTCTTTGATTAAAAGATTCATTCCTTGGGTAGCCAAATAAAATACAGTTATTATCCATTCTGGAAATAGGATATAATTCTGTTTTGTTTTGTGTTTAAGCAAAGAAGTGTTTCAGAAAACCGACCTCATGAGAATCTCTTACCCAACTGTCCACGAGTTGCTCTTCCTGACTCTTTGCTCTAAAAATTTCTCTTGGCTATCCAGGCTCTCCCCTTCTATGTCTTACAGATTTTACTGACCAAATCATCTTTCCAATCTGTCCCCTCTTTCCATTCCCATTGTTACCTGATTCTCCTGGAGCTATTCTACCAGTCCTTCAGATGCCATCCTGAAAATGAGTTTCTTAAGTGTTTTTTTCTTGGGGGGGGGGTTGTTTTAATGGACTATGTTTTAGAGACAGTTTATATTGACAGTAAAATTTGGCAGAGGAAGCCAGGCAATGTGGTGCATGCCTATAATTCCTGTGGCTTTGGAGGCTGAGGCAGGAGGATCACAAGTTCAAAGCCAATCTCAGCAAATCAGTGAATGTCTAAGAAAATTAGGGAGACCCTGTCTCAAAATACAAAATGAAAAGGGCTGGGGATGTATCTCAGTGGTTTAGTGTCCCTGGGTTCAATCCCTGGTACGAATAACATATATAACAACAAAACTGGGGAAGAGGGTACATAGGTTTCTCATATGCCTCCTGATCTGACATGTATGTGTATAGCCAACCCCATTATCAACATCTCCCACCATGGCAGAACATTAATCACAAATGATGAAACTACATTGACCACTAAAAAACTACATTGACCTACGTTGCCATCTCATTATCACCCAAGGTCCACCCAGACATATCATTATCACCCAAAGTTCTAGGATTCACCATTGTACATTCTATAGGTTTTGGAAAATTTATAGTGAAATACATATGCATGAGTACTTTCATTGGCCTAACAAGTCCCCTGTGCTCTGGCTATTTTTCCCTCCCTTCCCTGACTTCTTGAATTTTTTCAACCCCCAAAGCAACATATTTTCAGAATGATTCTTATTCTATTTTTGCTTCCGCAACTGTTTGTCCTTGCATTGCTGGATTTAAGTTCTTTGAAGTTCAAAATAATATTTTGTCTTCTATTTATTTTCTATTTATTTCCCACTGCAATGTAGACAGCATCTAAGATAGCAAATGCTAAGAATATATATTAAATTAATTTTGAATGGAAACATTTACTTTACTGGGGATATTTAAAGAAAACTTTTATAAGACAAGTGTTAATAACAATAACAACAGAATATATTAAATAAAACAGAAAACAAACTGGGAAACAGGAAACAAAGAGAATAAGAATATATTTTGGGGTTAGACAATCAGAAAATAAAGTTTTGAATTTGACTTCTGACTTGGCATATTATAAGATCTATTCACTGCTATTTATTCTGCCCCAGGGATAAACGTTTCATAAAAGGTTCTGGATGAATGTTGAAATGAAGAGATAATAAAATAGGTTAAATAAAATAATATCTCCAATTTTTTTAGTATATTATTGCTGATAACTACAACATTAATTTCTAGTAAAATACTTTTTGTAACTTATTTTTAGGTAAAGAATCTATTTTCTCCCTATAGATATTTAGAAGAAAGGAAGTGGCATTATAAAACTTAGTCCACAATGTAAAACAACAAAAACTTCCAAATTCAGCAATACTTCATTTTCTCTACCCACACGTATCCCTCTAAGGATTGTGGTAAATAAAGATAGCTCTGTGTCCTCCACAATAAGAATTTCCCACTGTCCTTGAGATTCCCCTGCCCAGCTCCTTATGATATCCGGCTGGTTGAAATAATCTAATGTCCGACTTTTCTAACCTAAAGCCTCAAAGTGATTTAAACAATTGCCATATTTAGCTACTAAAGGTGCTTGCCTTTACAATATTCTCTCTAAATATTGAATGAATGGTTTTCTCTTCTTCCTTCTCTCTGGCGGAAAAAAAAAAAAAATATTTGTCATAAAGTCAAAAGGAGAAAAAGACTTCTTGTTAGGTTCCCAACATGGTAATAGACTTATCATAGCTCTCATTTTTCTCTAGACAGTTAAATTGTCCAATAAAATTGTCCCATCAGCTAACACTTAAGATTCACTCTTAAAGGAAATAAACAGACAGAATTCCCAAAAGAGAAACTTTTATGATAATTTCCCATGAAATATAG